CATGAGTTCCTGTCCCCTCCGCTCCCTCCCCCAGCCCCTCTGCTCTAGCCAGAGCACTCTTTCTGAAAGAAAAGGACAATCCTTTCACAGCCTCCTGTTACCCTCAAAATAAAGTTCAAACTCCTTGAAATGGCGTACAAGGAACTTCTCCCTTGGTCCCCCTGCTACCATCTCTCCAGCTGACTTTTCATTATCGGTTTCCTATTGCTGCTGTAACAAATTACCACAAACTTGGAGGCTTAAAACAACGCAAATTTATTATCTCACAGTTCTGGAGACCAGAAGTCATAAATGTTCTTTTCCTTGTAATGACCCTTATGATGACACTGAGCCCACACAGATAATCCCGGGTAATACCCAAATCTCAAGATCCTTCATTTAATCATCTCTGTAGTGTACCTTTTGCCACATAAAGTAACATACTCATGAGTTCGGGGGATTAGGACATGGACATCTTGGGGGGAGTGGGCTCGTTACTCTGCCCGGCACATTTTCCTACTTCTGTCCTTTCCACTCTACACTGCAGCCGTCAGACTGAATTACTTCCATTCTCCTAAACATTCTGTTTCCATTCCTATATCCTCTGCTCCTCCTTCAGATGCCTGCTTCAATGTCACCACCTCCAGGAAGCCCTACCTGACTTCCAAGGACTATGCTCCCCTCCCGTGTGCTCCTAGCGCACTCCATTTTTACGTATGTCACACTGTCATTGTCCAGTGACTATTGTGCCTTCCTGTGAGTGACATTTCCTTGGGACTTCAGTGTCTTTTTCACCATAGTATTACCAGTCCCTAGCAGTATGTCACACTGTCATTGTCCAGTGACTATTGTGCCTTCCGGTGAGTGACATTTCCTTGGGACTTCAGTGTCTTTTTCACCATAGTATTACCAGTCCCTAGCACTGTGCCTTTTGTGAGCACTCAGGAAACATATATATAATGAAGGAATGAGCAAATAAATGACTAATCAAAACCATAAAGCCAGCAAAACTACATTTTCCAAAGTTGAATAAAGACCTGACAGGTTTTTATAGAACAAAGTCTATTATAGGTAAGAATTCAGACCGTGTAATACAAGTCCATGAGCAGTCTGTCATCCATTCCGCAATGAAAGGAAACACAGCACACACCTCGTGTTTGGGAGGAGGTGAGATAAAGCTAACTTGGCCCTGAAGAATGGGTAAGATTTATATAATGGAAAGAATGATCTTATTCACTATTATAATGTGCACTTTTCTAGTCTCCTGGAAAAATTCAAGTAACACCTTCTCCTAATTTTTTAAAAGAATCGATAATAAAGAAGAATTAAAATGAAAAGCAGCAGTCCCAGCTTCAGCCCTCCACACCCAGTCCCCTTCCCAGATGCCATGTGCTTTTGTCCATTCCTGCATTTAGCCCTCCTTATTTCCTAATAATCTGATGTCGCTATTTTTGAATTTAGCACTGTGTTCTGACAGTATCGTCTTAGATTCTGCATGTGCCTATTTGAGACCCATTCATTGCAGGACCAGTTGTGTTAGGCAGACTTTCTTATTTTTCTCTATTCTTGATGCTCCAACATTTGAGGCCTCACTGACTAGGGAGAGGCTGCGTGCTGAAACTAGTCAGTTCTTAGATCCAGCAGAGGGCCCACCTGCGGGCCTGCCTTGCATTTGCAAACTAACCAGTCCAGAGTCCACACTCCCAACCACCTCCTTTATCTGCCTCACACCCCAAGCCGGTATTCCTCCTGCCCTATGTAAACCCAGGGCCAGAAACCAGACAAGTGTGGACAGTCCCTGTGCTCCAAAGCCTACCTGAATTATTCTAATTAGCCAATCCTAAACTGTTTACCGTGCCCTGCCTCGCGTTTCCCATGGAAACCCTAATAAAGGCCATGGCCTAGGATCTCCCCTCGCCCCTTTCTGCCTCCTGACCAAACCTGGTGCTTCCCCATGTGGCCCTGCGTGGCGTTGCATGGCCTGGCCTGGCATGGCGTGCCCCCTCCTCTCAGGAAATGTAAGTAATAAATTCTTCTTTTAGTGACATTGGCCTCTCCGTGTCATTACTCAGTCACCTCCATAAATTAAAATCCTACAGATATAGCATGTACTATGTGTCAATTAAAATAAAAAATAAACAAAAAACAAATCCCACAGATGTAAATGAGACACACTACTGCCCACCAAGACTCGCCTCTTTCTTCCAAAATTTTCAAGAGCTTCACTGAGATATAATTCCCAAGCCATACAATTCACCCATTTAAAGTGTAGAATTCTAAGTACTTTTGTATATTCACAAGGCTGCACAACCATCACCACATTTTAATTTTAGAAACATTGTGTCTCCTCAAAAAGAAACCCCATATCCATTAGCAATTATTCCCATTGCATCCCACCCCTCCCCAGCCCTAGTCAACCATCAATATACTGCCTGTCTCTAAATATTGGCCTCTTCTGGGAATTTTGTATAAATGAAATCATGTACTGTGTGCTGTCTTATGGCAGACTTCTTTCATTTAGCACGATGTTTTCCAGGTTAACCCACATTGTAGCATGTATCAGAACTTCATTCCTTTTCATGGCCGAATAGTATTCCATGGTGTGGCTATACCACATTTTATCTGTCCACTCATCAGCTGATGGGCTTTGGGCTGTTTCCTCTTTTGGCTGTTGTGAATGATGCTGTTATGAACGTCCATGTACAAGTTTTTGTGTGGACATGTTTTCAGTTCTCTTGAGTATACACCCAAGAGTAGAATTGCTGGGTCATATGGTAACTTTATGTCCAACTTTTGAAGAACTGCCAAACCGTTTTCCAAAACAGTTGGACCATTTGACGGTCGTACCAGCGATGTTCAGATTCTAGTTCCTCCACATCCTCACCAATATTTGCACTTCCCAAATGAAGTTGAGCATCTTATGTGCCTCTTGCACATTTATAGATCTTCCCTGGGAAAATATCTATTCAAATCCTTTTGCCCATTTTTTAAATTGGGTTATCTGCTTTTTATTGTTGAGTTGTAAGAGTTCTTTAATTCTGTAAACAACTTCCTTATCAGATACATGAATTGCAAATATTTTCTCCCCTTCTCTCACTAAAAAGTGGTGTTCTTTGAAGCACAAGAGTTTAATTTTGTCAAAGTCCAATTTATCTATTTTTACTTTTGTCACTTGTGCTTGGGTATTGTATCTAAAAAAAAACATTGCTTAGCCCAAGGTCACAAAGATTTACTCTCCTATGTTTTCTTCTGGGAGTTTTATTTTTAGTTCTTACATTTAGGTTTATGATTAATTTTGAGTCAATGTTTGCATATGATGTAAGGAAGGGGTCCAACTGTGTTCTTTGTCGTGAGGATATCCAATTGTTCCTGCACTATTTGTTGATAAAACTATTTTTTCCTGATTGAATTATCTTGTCACACTTGTCAAAATAAATTGACATTTCTGGACTCTTAATTCTATTCCATTGGTTTATATTTCTATCTGTATGCTACTAACAGTCTTGATTATTGTAGCTTTGTAGTAAATTTTTAAATGATTTCATTCTTCTTTTCAAGATCATTTTGGTTACTTCAGCTCTCTTATATTTCCATATAAATTTTGAGATAAGCTTGTCAATTTCTGCAATAAGTAAATAAAGGCAGCTTAGATTTCATTAGGGATTGAGCTGAACATATAGATCAATTTAAGGAGCTTTGCTGTCTTAAAAATATTGTCTCCTGATCCATTGAACATGAACTGTCTTTTCATTATTTCGTTGAATTTTTTTAACAATATTTTAAAGTTTCTATTATAAAGGCTTGCATTTCTTTGTTAAATTTATTTCTAAGTACTTTTTTTATTCTTGTAAATGGATTTGTTTCCTTAATTTCTATTTCATTGCTGCTGAATTTTCATTGCTAGGGAATGTTTACATATTGATCTTCTATCCTGCAAACTTGCTGAACTAGTGTATTAGTTCTAATAGTTTTTTATTAAATTCCTTAGGATTTTCTAGATTCAAGACTATATCACCTCTGAACGGAGATAGTTTACTTCTTCCTTTCCAATCTGGATACTTTTTTATTTCTCTTACTTGCCTAATTACCCTGGCTAGAATTTCTACTACAATGTTAAATAGAAGTGGCAAATTTGGACATCCTTGTCTTGTTTCTGTTGTTATGGAAAAAGCATTCGGTCTTCATTAAGTATGATGTTAGCTGTGGGTTTTTTGTAGATGCTCTTTATCAGATAGAAGAAATTGCCTTCTATCCCTAGTGTGTTGGGGTTTTTTTTTTTCT